CTCTGGCGTAGGCTGGTTCATGAGGTCACGAAGAGTCGGAGACGACTGAACGAATGAACAACAACAAATGTATGTAAAAACACACAACCCCCTCCCCCAATAAATCCAGCTGTCTTTCAAACGTGTGATCTGATTATGGTGGTGACATGTCTACATCTATAGAGGTAACAAAAAGATCCAGAGATTTTTTAAAAGCTAAATGCTACCAACCTAGAGTGTGACTGACTTTTGCAAACACCCCGAATATGCCAAACAAATGCTCCTTGCATTTGTGCAATAAATTCTACATATTTTGTTGAACTGAATTCCCCCTCTCCTATAATCACCACTAGCCAAATCTGGGGTGCACCAGATTAGAAAAGCCCGATCTAGGACAATTTATATCATCCCCCTCATTGCAATGAAGACAAATGCATGTCCTCTATTGGTATGAATTCAAAGCACTTCCTAGTTCAAACACACCCACTTACAGTCACAAGTGAAGGTGAGAGGTTCCTGCAAGCTGTCATAAACCACTGTCACTTTCAAGCTGATTCCATGGCCAAGGTGTTCTGGGCTCAGGTTGACAGCGCTCCAGACATAACCAGTGAGGGAATAGTCTTTGGTACTGTAACCAGATCTCAATCTGTGGGCAAAAAAATAATAAAAAAAAATCCAGTTAGTTTCCATCATGATCTCAAGTCATTTTCCTCTGGTGTCTAATAAAATAAAATGGTTATAGTGGACTTCCAGAACCATGGGATCTGCAATTTTTACCATTTGTGGATTGCTGCAGTAAATGGTGATGTGTTGTTTATTAGTAAATGGTGATGTTATTAAATGACAGTGACATGATCATGTCATTGTCATTTAATAACATATGGCATGACCATCCGAGTTTTCTCATATTCCCATCTGGTGTTGGAACCAAACCCCCATGTAAACAGCAGGCCCATTGTATTGCATCTTACAACTCCTCCCGATACCAAGTGGAGGGGTGAATGTGAAAGAATACATGGCTTAAAGATTTCTGAGTTCTTGAATACTGATGGAAATGTGAGGCTGTTCACCCCTTGCCAAACTGAGTAAGATATTCCCATTGCTCCAAGTTTTCTGTTGTCACTGTTGTATTCCTAACAGATGTTAGATTGCTCACTTAGACTTGGTCTAACTTTAGGCATGTTGAAAGTGTATTTAAATAACCTAGAAGAAAGCAGTGAATGAGAAAAGAGCAGAAAGGAAAGAAGCAATCACAATGGCTGCCTTTCAAAGAGATGCCCTCTCCCTAAGAATGGTGTAATTCTGAGGCCAGCTTTCCTCACCTTAGTGCCCTTCAGAGAAATTGAAGTTCAATTCACATTATCCTAAGCCAGTCTGGCTCAGGATGTCAACTTCAGGTTGGGGGAAGCTATGTTAACCAGACCAACAGACTGAAACTTTTTGGTTTGAGCTTTTTTTTTTCCAGGTATTATGTTGGTCTTATGATATTCTTCAATATTTTTACTTAGATGGGAGGAATATCACTACCACCTCACAACATCAAGAATTAAAGTGATGGAAGGGGGCTTTCTTGGACATTACACAAAAGGGAAGTCATGTTATTCTATTGGAGCCCCCGGTGGCGCAGTGGGCTAAACCCCTGTGCCGGCAGGACTGAAGACCCACAGGTCGCAGGTTCGAATCCGGGGAGAAGCGGATGAGCTCCCTCTATCAACTCCAGCTCTTCATGCGGGGACATGAGAGAAGCCTCCCACAAGGATGATAAAAACATCAAATCATCCGGGCGTCCCCTGGGCAACGTCCTTGCAGACGGCCAATTCTCTCACACCAGAAGCCACTTGCAGTTTCTCAAGTCACTCCTGACATGACCAAAAAAAATGTTTTTCTATTTATATTACTGAATTCTTATTGCCAGGGATGGGATGAGACAGTTGTGGAATTTTCTGCCTCAAGTGCTAAAAAAGCTTGACTGACTAAGGGATGAAGTGCCTTTACTTGAGTGGGATGAACCATTTGCTATTTCATGTCAGACAGCAAAATATCTGGGGGTACACTCTGTCTATTACTGTAGACTGTTTTACCATAAACTGCTTTCAGAAATTATAATCCTTAATAAATTCACCCACATCCAGTCAATAGCAGGCTCAAATCTTTTCCACGAAAGCCATTGTATAAAAATAATGCAACATGCAAATATGATTGCTTCCCCAGCCACAAAAAATAAATTCAGAACCGCAATTAATTGCTCATGACAATCTATCTACTGAACACATGAACACACATGCACACAGTGGAAAAAATGTGGACAGGTTTCTCAATAAGACCTTGTCTACCATACACTAGTACTTACACATCCAGCATATGGCAGAAAGCAGCCACTTCTTCGTCCTTCTCTTCAGAAACCTCAAACAGCTCGTAGCCATTGGCCACTGGATGATGGCGAGAAGTGGCCTGGTACCAAACAAAACATGGAAATCAGGGTAAGAATGTCAGTGATTTAGAGCTTCCGCTATCCATCCACACCCCCATGCACTGTTCAGTCTAAAGCAATGGTTCTCAACCTGTGGGCCTACAACTCCCAGAAATCCCAGCCAGTTTACCAGCTGTTAGGATTTCTGGGAGTTGAAGACAAAAACATCTGGAGACTCACAGGTTGAGAACGACTGGTCTAAAGTATTTTATTTTGTTGTATATCAGTAAATACCATTTGTCATTTAAATCTAATCAATGGTGACGACTGGAGTGCCAACTAATTGGTTGCTGAGAATGTAGACCAGTGATTCTCAACCTGTGGGTCCCCAGATGTTTTGGCCTTTAACTCCCAGAAATCCTAACAACTGGTAAATTGGATGGGATTTCTGGGAGCTGTAGGCCAAGACACTGGGGGACCCACAGGTTGAGAACCACTGATGTAGGCTGAATTGATGAACACAGGCACGTGCATGATAAAAGCAGATATAGTATTGTTTCTTCCACTTTATCATACCACTTTAAGGACCACCTACAGTAACATAAATATGGGCTGAATTACAAGTTGGATTCATGTTGCAGATGTAACATCTGATGAGGGAAGGAAAGCTGATGGGGGAAGCTCTCTTTTTCAGTTATTGATGCAATGTTATGAAGACAACAATTGCATCTGAACAAATGAGGGGTCATCATTATAACAAAGCGTTCTGCAATTATCTCCTGCTTTAGAAAAGCAGCATTATAGATTCTGAGCTCCAGAGGTATCCTATGAATTAATGTGATCTATGGTTGCTGGATGACTGCATATTATGGCATGCTGCTTTTGAAAATGGAGAACAACAGTCGGCACTCATTCATAGCTTCACCCACTCCATATTTATTTGATTTGTTTCAAATATTTATGAATACTTTATTATTTTTTTAAAAAAACTCTAAACCAGTGGTTCTCAGCTTGTGGGCTGTGGCCCAGCCATGGCCCATGAGAATGAAAATCCGGTCTGCAAACCACCTTCTTTCCTCTTTATTTATTTAATTTCCACTCCTTTCCGCAGAGCTAACCAGCCCCACCCCTTCTGGTACTAATGTTGGAGAGTGGTCCCTGGTCAAAGTGGTCCCAAGTCTAGTGGTACCAGGTCAAAGTGGACCCTTGTAAAAAAAAAAAAGCTTGGGAACCAATGCTCTAAACAAACATACAGGCAGTGACAAGTGCAGATCCAGCATGAGTGAGCCGTGCTTTAATTTAAATCAGAGGCACGAAAGATGTTTTGGCTTGCAACTGTACAAAGCACCAGCCAGCACAGCTAATGGCAAAGGATTTTGAAAATTAGAATCCTCAAAGATTCTCCAATCCTGCTTTAGAAAAGGAAGACATATTTTCAAAAACTTGTTTCCTCTTTTTTCCATACTTCCACTTTGGAATCCAAGTTTGGAACTGAAAGCAGAAAAGGCTGTTTCTTGCATTTGGTTTGAATATTAATTTCCCCCTTCACATATCTTGAACTGTAGTTTGTTTGTTTTTTACTTTGAATTATATTATAGTTCTAATGCTGATCAACTAGCTATTTTTTTTCTTTTTTGATAATTATTGTGCCAATTCGCACAGGTCTTCTGGTATCAGTTCATACAATTATAAATAATTACGTGACCTACGTTTCCTAATGGAGGTGAAGAACATGTGAGAGTGGATAGAAGATGTTTTCTGCCTCTCTTGACCATCCTGTTTTGTTTTTGTTTTTTGTTTTTTGTAGCTGTCATGAGGTCAATCCTCTTTCAGGTGACTTCAAAGAAATATTCCCTAAAATCATGCAACTGGAGTTTTATATAATTAGTGCTGTCTCAAAGTTCCTAAGAGCTTTGAGGCAGCATAAAATCATAACAAATAAGTAAAGGTTGATCAATACGTGCAGCGGTAAGTAAATGGAACAACAGACTACAGGCAAAAATTGTGGCCCTGGAAAACATGGGTAAGAACTGCTGATAAATAAACAGACTACAAATCTGATGAACAAGAGGATTCAGTGTTAAAATTAGTTAAACAAACAGAAGTGTAAGAAAACAAGATAAACAGAAACAATCCATTATGAGGGAACTGAACACAGGAAGACCATGTGGACTGGCTTTTTAACTGAGGATGATGGAAACAGCAAACAGTAGAGGAAACTATTCTAAAGCTCTATAACATAAAAACAATACAATGCATGGGAAAATACAATATAAACATATATATTTTGCTCACAGCAGGATAATTCCACAATTAATGACTGGCTAGTGATTTCTTCAGCTACGGTATGACCCCCAAATCCATGTGAAGGTTTCCCCCTGACATGAAGTCCAGTAGTGTCCTACTCTGGGGTGTGGTGCTCATCTCCATTTCTAAGCCAAAAAGCCGGCGTTGTCCGTAGACATCTCCAAGGTCATGTGGCCGGCATGACTGCATGGAGTGCCGTTATCCATGTGATACACTCCCTAAAATGATATCTATCTGCCAGCATTTCAATCCAGAACACAATAGAAAAGTTTATTAATTTTTGTTTCGGATTACAGCTGGTCTCAAAGGTCAGCACAGCAGTTATTGTGTATGTTAAAACACACATTGTTGACTGTTTCTTGGTGACTTGAAATCTCCAGTCAGACTTATTATTTATAGAATGAGTGGGTAGGTATTTATTATATGTCAACTCTGGCTGAATTATTTGTCATTTTCGTTTAGGCGATAAATTTAAAAATAACAAAATTGTGACACCAGCACAGCTAAACACTTCCATTCTCAAAAACTTCCACTTTGTTTCCAAATGCTCCAGTAGGATACGGAGGAAGGAAGGACAGAAATACACAGAGTGCCAAGCCCAGCCAAAGAGAGCGCGCACATGGTCTCAGGGCTTGAATTCACTCCTTCAAAAGCAAACAAAGGCCCCACTGTCAGACCAATTAACCCACCAAACAGTTAAAGGCCCGAGGAATGAGGGGAAAGAGACAGGGCACACAACAGACACTGAAGACAACTTTAATGCTCTGTTATAATTACTTCCTTACACAGCGAAGGCAGGACGCAACTTACATAACCTTTGCCAGTAGCTCCCGACAGCATTTCTCACTGGCCGCAGGGGCAGCTGGTCCTGGGAAAGTCGTGTGACGACGGAGATCTTGCTTTTATTTATATCCCCGAGATTCCAGAGGTATTTGTCATCTATTCATGTCCAAAAATATAACATCCCCGAAAAGCTAAATGAAGGGGGATCCTGGAGTGCATCTACACTGTAGAATTAATGTTGTTTGATGCCACTTGAACTGCCCTGACTCAATTTTATGGAACCATGGAGCTGCAGTTTTCCAAGATCTTTCACTTTCTTTACCAGAAAGTGCTGGTGCTTCATCAAACTACAACTCACATGATTCCACAGCATTGACCCCTGGCAGTTAAAATGGTGTTAATCTGCATTAATTATACAGTGTGAGTGATCTAAGTCCTGCTAACCCTTCCATTGGGAAAATAGCTTAGAAAGTAGTAGTTTTCTGGGCAATATGGCCATGTTCCAGAAGCATTCTCTCCTGACGTTTCGCCCACATCTATGGCAGGCATCCTCAGAGGCTGAGGGGTCTGTTGGAAACTAGGCAAGTGAGGTTTATTTATCTGTGGAATGTCCAGGGTGAAAGAAAGGACTCTTGTCCGCTTAAATCTTGTCTGCTTGAGGCAAGAGTGAATGTTGCAATTGACGGCCTTGATTAGCCTGGCTGGATGCTGCCTAGGGGAATCCTTTGTTGGGAGATGTTAACTGGCCCTGATCGATTATTGTCTGGATTTCCCCTGCTTTTTTAGTGTTGTTCTATTATTTACTGTCCTGTTTTTACAGAATTTTTTAAAATACTGGTAGCCAGATTTTGTTCATTTTCATGTTGAAATTGTCCACATGCTTGTGAATTTCAGTGGCTTCTCTGCTCAGCCTTTCAAGTAGATTAAATGATAGGTTATGATTTTTTTTTGGTATAATTTGCCTGTGGATATTGTTTTTTGGAACATAATTGTTTGTTTTATGTTTCTCATTTATGAATTGGATCCAGCATTTAATGTTTGCCATCTTTTGTTGGGAATCCGCCCTGAGTACCCTTGGGGAGAGAGGATGGAATAATAATAATAATAATAATTATTATTATTATTATTATTATTATTATTATTATTACTATTACTATTTTCACTAAGTACCCTAACATAGCAAGACTGCTTGGTGTTAATATGAAATGGACTGAAGACAAAAGGCTAACATAGATTATAAACATGAACCTTGATTTGTGTTCCCTTTTAAACAGGAAACAAGCTTGTCCCTGTGTTCTGCATATGGGCAGTTTCCTTCCTGTGCAATCTTTCAGAAATGATTGCTTCTGGGAAGCAGATGCTCCAACAGCCAGGATGGACTCACATCTTTTGGCTGAAAGGTTTGGGTTTTTTTTCTAACCAAATACTGCCTTTCCCTTAAATTGCTGGGTTTGGGGGATCATATTAATAAAACCAGAAATATGCACAGCCTGGTCCTGAGGCTGACTGTCAAGGTAGCTTGACACATCCCAGCAAATGTCAGCAGTCGCAACTGGGATCATTCATTCTAGTGGTGACAATGAAGGCAGGATAATGAAGAGGAAATGAGCTTGTCCCTCAGAGATCCCTTCAGGGCATTTGATTTGTGTCTATCTCCACCTGCTTTTTATTTTTTTTACAAAAAACATCATTTTAATGTCAACTGGGAAATGTGACAGAAGAGTTCCAATTGAAAAGGGCTATGCTCTCCAATTTTTCCAATTTGACAGACTGAACTTTTTTCAGCTGCTTTAAAAATGCCCTAGTTCCAGTCTCCTCTTCCAGCTTCCTGCCATTGTCTTCAACTTACTTCCACTCCTGGAAACTTCCTTCAAGGTAGAAATGTATTTTGCACACAATTAATTCAACAGGGGAAGAGGAAAGGACAAAATCTTGTTCTACTGTCTATTTTGTGTATGTGAGGAAGGGAGGTCACTCTGGAAGGCTGGGGGCTACATGAGATCCTCCTCCCCTCAGGAGACTTTGGAGGATTGAATTGGGTTTTTGCATGTTTATATTTAAATATTCTGGCGTTGTTTTAAATGAACATTGCATTATATTTACTGTTATATCGAATAAGTATTTAATGAGAATATTGGAACAAAGATGGGAAAATAAAAAAAATCCTCTACTGTACTCACTTTCACAATATTTTTAACTACAGGATATGAGCTGAAGTCATGCCCTGATTTTTTAAAGGCCTCATCGAGGCCTAAATGAGCTTGGGAGGTATAAAATATGGTGTACAGTAAATTTTATGTTAAATGCGTGATTTCATTTCACACTCATACACAAAACATGGAAAACATTGCTAATGAAAACCTTAGATATATTTATTCCTGTATCAAAAAAATGAATGTAGGTTCTATATGACCCTTCTGATACAGATCATACAATTTCAATATCAACTCTAGATATCTTGAGCTGCATCTACTCTGAAGAATTAATGCTGTTTGACAGCATTGCAACTGCCATGGATCAATGAAAACATGGAAGTTGTAGTTTGGTGAGTTACTAGTACTCTTTGGCAGAGAAGGATCAAGACATAAAACATCAGCTTCCATGATTCTATAGCATTGAGCTATGGGAGTTAAAGTAGTGTCAAACTGTAGAGATTCTATAGTATATATTATATTTCCATTCATTGGCTCTTTCCACTGAAGTCTTCCAGGTAATAGAGAAAGCAATGTAGGCTATGCAAACATACCATTAGAAAGTGGAGGGGGGCACTTTTGAGGCTGTATGTGATATGTTTCCTCCTGCCTTTGGACTGTTTAATTTATTTAGAAAGGCAGTAGAATGCTGAACTGGCCACAAATATGCTCTAATTCAGCCTTTTCCAATTTGATAACTTTTGGATGTTTGAGATTGCAACTCTCATTATCCCCAGCCAACAGTCCTATAGTGAGAGCTGTAGTCCAGAAAGCTGTAATCCAACACAACTGGAAGGTGGTGGCTTGGGAAAGACTCATATAATGTATCAAAACTTTTGTGTGATTCTCTCAGCTATGCCTCAGTGGAAGGACTTGTAATCTTCAAATACATGCAGGAAGTTGTCTTATATTAAGTCGGAGCACTGGTTCATCTTGCTCCATAATAAGAACTCTGATTGGCATTGTCTATCTCGAGATCCCTGGCGTTCCTTGGAAGTTTCTGATCCAAGTACCAACTACAACTGACTATGCTCAGCTTGCACTTTCAAGTGAGATCAGATGGATTCAGAGTGGTAATGGGGATAAATACATCAATATGATCTTACCGGATCCGCTGATATCCTCCAGTTCTTGTTGAGTGCCGCATTCTTTCGTCCACCGGACCTGGAGACATAAGTCCTGGGAGGGACCTGAGGAGGCATAGTCTTGCTACGAGCAACTGGCTTCCCACTACTTTCTTTCTCAAAAATACTTCTCCCTTCCTTCCAGCTCCAGGTGGTTTCCCTCAAAAGTTCAGTGTCATAAGTGGACTTGAGGTTGAGTCGGGTGATAGCATCATTGATGCCATCATAGTCTACTGTGCTATATGGGTCCTCCTCTGAGATTCTACGCCCTAGCCATTTCCCATCAGGTCTCTCCTGGGATGAAGAGAACATGTTGATATCGTTGGGTTGGGACTCTTTGAGAGAAGCTTGATTCACTTCTGAGGTGTCCCAGATGGCAATGCGAGGGGGCAAAGGGGGTGGAGAAAGCTTCTTAGGGGAACTGCTGCCACTACGGTTCTGGCAGGATGAACTATTGAGGGGCTCCTTGACAAAATCATGCCCTGTGCTATCATAGATATACAAGTAGTCACTAGAGAGAGGTCCCTTCAACCAAGGCTGGCTCTCTGGCTCAGGCAGCAGAGTGGATGAGGTAGTATTACTGCTTTCAAAAGCTCTTGAACCCTCCTGGCCAGAGAGGGCATTGTAATTAAGAGTTGAGTCTGAGCCGGATAGGCCTCGCATGACCTTGATATTGTGGCAGTCATTCCTTACAGCAGGTTTGTTGTAATCCAGAATTGGATCATCCCAAGAAATAAGAGGCTGGTCAGAATTTTGCTTGGCTTGGCTCTCCTCTTTGTCTTGCCTCAGGCGGGACAGGGCATCATACTCCATCTGCAGGGCTTCCGCAAGAGCCAGCTCCTTGCGGCTAATCCCCACAGACTCCAAGGATTTCCAGTGTTCTCCATTGCCTCTAGTTGCAGACATCTCTTGGAAGATAAACACTGAAGCCAGTGACTACGGGGTGCTCGATTCAGCAGTTAAGAACAAAGGCATGCTGCTTAACCAGCCACCTGCAAGCAAAGAGATCAAAAGAAAATGTAAACAAACCAGCTTTGTTTAACAATGGTTAATCGAGAAACAAGTTGAAACTATAGCTCATGTCAATACATTAATCATATCCAGAGCTTAGAAGAATTAATTTTGGGCTACAACTCCCATGCAAGTAATCATGATAGCTGGAGAATTCTTGGAGTTGTTGTCCAAAAGCAGAGTTTGTGCATGTGCAAAGAATCTAATAATTACTGTGTTCTAAAGTTCTAACAGTAGAAGTCAAATTCAAGGCCAATATGATATCGATCCTATGAGCCCCGTATGCACTCACTGTAAACACATGTCCCCTCAAGAGGGTATAAATCAGATTAAAATCTAGCATTGGACATTAAATGGTTGTCCGAGTGTACCGTTTACTTTTAGTTTACACTGAATCTATGATTCATATTTCCCTAACCAACTGTTAGGGAAATAACTGTTGATATGTTCCAGTGCTGATATGTTCCAGACTCTTTACTTGGGAGTGAGCCTTACTGGGCTCAGCTGGAATGACTGGGCTCAGCTGGAATTTTGTAGGCTTTACATTGTAAACAAGGCTATACATATACACAGGCCTAGGGTACCCACGGCCCTCCAGGTGTCGAAAAAATACTACTCCCATCACATCCACACTAGTTCTAGCTCAGCCCTAGACATTGCTGAATATGGCCTTATTTTTCCTACCAATTACCCAGATCACTTCCTCTAATAGGCCCCAGAAATGAACAGCCATAGACCCATACCTATTATTGTGGTTGTCTGCTATAGCACTGCACTTAATTCCCAGGCCCCCTACAATTTTTGAGCTTGCACTAATCTCGGCCTGGCCTTTTAAATTGCCTTGAACAGGCAGGATTATGTTTAATATATGTGTGTTGTGGCAACAATTTTTATACTTATATTGTTTTGTTAATCTTATGGTTATGTTGTTAACTCTGTATTTATTGATGATGTTATTTGGAAACCGCTCTGAGTCCCCTTGGGGAGATAGAGATATATAAATAAATTATTATTATTATTATTATTATTATTATTATTATTATTACACACTAGGCTATCTCTGGAGCTGATGGGCATGGGAGTCTCACAGTATTTGGCAGTCTACTAGTTCTTCAGCCCTGACTTAATACTATAAAAGCAAAATGCTATGCAAATCAATAGTTATTCAAATCACGTGTTACTAGGACACATGCACACTTTCATTTTATCCTCTTTGTTTCATGGTTCAAATCTGGGGAAATGAGGAGAGCCAAATTCATACAATTTCTTTTATTGGCCCTGCTGTGACCACAGAGTTTTCAATGCTAGCCAGATCTCAACTCAGCTCAATACTCTCCTGTGCTGGAATTCCACTTGTTTAAATGATGTACAGACCTGTGCTAGTTAGGCGGGAAAGGCAGCACAAAGAAAGAACAATCTCTCTTGCCTGTTCTCAAGTGGCTACAATTCATGTTAATCATTATTCAAAGAAATCACCAATTCCTCTTTTTTATAAGAGCAACAACATTTTAATAGCCTCTGTATGTTTCCAGTACCTTGAAATAGATGTTTCCTGCATTATTTCAAACTAGCTTGGGGACCAGGTGCTGCCCGGGTTATTTGAGAAAGGAATTGTGTGTCAAGGTTGATCTTTATCAGTTATTTATATGGCTCACAGTGGTCTCAAGAAGTTAGTGAAGGTACTGTGAGTCCCATCATCTGTGGCCATCCTCCTCCAAACTGCATCAGGATGGAGAGTGGGTCATCTGGGCTCTGTGTGCCAAGTTTGGTCTTGATTGGTCGTTAGATGAGGGTTGAAGCAGTCTTGGGAAGGGAGTGGAGGTACTGCAAGTCCCATCATCCCTGGTCCACACTCCTCCAAACTGCAGTAGGATGTAGAGTGGGTCTTGCGGGCTCTGTATGTCAAGTTTGGTCTGTATTGGTAATGTTCTGACACAGCCTCAGGCCTTTCCCCCTCTTTGTCACCTCAGAGTCTTGGAAATTTCAGGCTGGCCAATCAGAGACCATATGCAAATTGTACCTCAGTAGCAACCAATCAGAAAGCTGCCACAAACACCTCCGCCCTACGTCCTCCGCACTTCCTCCACATACAATGACTTTTATTATATACATAGATGAGCATGGTATAGGGACTAAGGAGATGTGAGGTGCAAGTTCAAGTCTGCCGTGAGCTACCAGAAGATCCTGGACCAACTACTCTTTTTCAGCCTTGCCTAACTCACAGGGCTGGTGTGAGGGTATGCTACAAAAAAGAGCATTCATGCTTTAAGTTAACTAGAGAAAAGCCAGAAGAGAAATGAAATGTTTAGAAAGAAGGGCTTGAAAAATTGAATGGAAGTGCAACTTCCAAGTCAACTAAAGCAACAATTATGCAGACCTACAGATATTGTTGAATGCAAGGACTGAAAGCAATGCTAAGACTTGCCATCTAACAAGACCTGGAAAGCCACATGATTCCCACCCCTGAAGGAGACCATGCCAGTAGCAAAGTTGAATCTACTGCCTAGATTAACAGGGACACCTGTATGTTATGTGGCCTATGAATCTAGATGGGCAGAAACAGCATGCTGGAATCCCTGCCTGATGCAAAACATAGTCAGCACCATGCTTTATACACATTTATTGGTGGAGCAATCAGTCTGTTGGACATAGTCCAGGACAAAGGGGTGTGTGCAAATCACCACGCAGCTCAAATGTTTACAGTCACTTAGAGCGACCTTGAGCAAAAATTATCCCCTTTGTCACTGCCTTCCACCTCCCCTACTTCACAAGATTGCCATGAAGATGAATGCAGCGTTCTGTGTATGCTGCTCCCAGTTCTTTGGAGGTAGGAAGGCATAACATTACTGAAATAAGAATATAAATACATTGATCTAAACACCAAAAGAAGAATTCACTAATATCCAATCAAGATCTCCTGATGTTCCTCTCAGTTTGGGAGCAAAGTAAAAGGAGGCAAAGATGCTGCAGCACAGATTCAAAACACTTTGCTAGAAGCCTGGCGGGGGATTAGAAGTGGTGCCCTATTTTGAAGCATCACGGAGACTGCAACCTCCTTAGTCACCTCGCTAAATTCCATCAATCTGTGCCCAAGGCACTTAATTAATAGTACTCTGCCTCATCAAAGCAGCTTGCTGTGATTTCCATGGAAGCAAGGGGGGGGGGGGGGGGGGGGGAGTACTCAGCATTTTAATAACCCTGTGTTCTTCAACAGTAAAACAGCCACACTGTAATGTTCCAGACTGTTTAACATTTACTGTAACAAGTTATAGGAGATAGCAACAGATACTAGTACTGGCAGAAACAACAATAGAAAAAACAATGGCAGATAAGTAGTCTTTGTACAATGTCCATAAACCACAGAGATGTGATAGAAGGGGGGGGGGGGATGAAAAGCTGACTCAGTCTAGAAGACAAACTTTAGAACCCCTGGCACCACAGATTCTGGGAGCTTCTCTTCAGGATATTCAGTACCAAAATCAAAATCATTTGATGAGGCTACCAATATAAAGTACAAGTTGCTTTGAACCAGACATCTCCAACCTGTTGCATTCCAGATATATCAAGACAATAGCTCCCAGACAGTATGGCCAAGGAATGGAGAGAGTTGAAGCTCAAGACTTCAGATGAGTGTCAGATCTAAAGGTAAATCATACCTAGTAGCAGCATGGAATATACTAGACTGCAGTTTCACCTATTTTGGGCAACACTCATGACCTGTCCAATATACAAACATATGGTAAAGAATTAAGAATGGATCACAAAATGCATGCTCAGGTCTTATACAAATCTTGGATCTGGAAGGACTGATAACTACTGCACAGCAATATTTTGCATCACTGGCTATGCTGGCCAGGGGTGCTAGAAACTTCAGTTCAACATCTGGAAGGTTGGATGATTCCCATCTCTTGTTTAGAAACTGGGATTAAGGGGGGAATGCACATAGATCAGAATGGAGTATAAGTATGACAGACAAGTCAAAGCTTGATTCCTGTTATGTCCAGTTTAACGGACTAATGAAGTGATTCTCAACCTGTGGGTCCCCAGATGTTTTGGCCTTCAACACTCAGAAATCCTAACATATGGTAAAGTTGTAGGCCAAAACACCTGGGGTCCCACAGGTTGAGAACCACTGGACTAATGTGAAATAATTTTCACATGAAACTCTAGGGATGCATACCAAAGTTGGACTGGTCTAGCAGCTGAACATTATTTCAATCCTGGCAATTAGGAGTAATCTCTTCTATCAATGGTTGAATTGAAGAGAGATTTTTCAGCACAGGTTCCTTGTTACTTGGTTGCACATCAAACAACACCTGCTGATTTTTTTCCAATGCCTGTGAAAGGCACAGTAGTCATCCCATTTTCAGACTGCCAACTGTACTGGAAATGGATGAGGATCCTCCACTATCACCAAAGAACCACAGGCGAGTACATTAGGGAATACTGGACAGGCTTTGTGGTCCTCCAAGGGGAGGGGAGACACAGGTGCAACAGCATCTGTGAATTGGCAGTCGCTTCATTTTACATAGTGGTAGGACTGGTCCTGATGAAAAAGTAAATCCAAGTAAATATGTACTTACAGCATTTACTGAATGGAAAGATGTACAAAGATACCTAGAAACAGTATAGCCAAGATACTTATAAATCATCTACCTAACACAGTGCATTAGTGGTTGCTGTGTACCTTCAAGTTGTTTCTGACTCATGCAACCTCAAAGTGACTGTGTCACAAGGTTTACTTGGCAAGATTTGTTCAGAAGTTTGCCTTTGCCTTCATCTGAGGCTGAGAGAGTGCGACTTGCACCCAGTGGGTTTCCATGGCAAAAGGGGAATTTGAATGTTAATCTCCATGGTTCTAGTCCCATGCTAAAACCATAATGTCATGTTGGATCTCACACCTGTAGAAGATGCACTAAAAGAGTCCTTAGTTCTCAAAAGATCTTCTCGGTGCATATAATCACAGGCAAAAATATTCAAA